GCATTGCATGTTTTAGGGGTGAATGCAGGAGAGAAAAAAATTGAGCGAAGATCAAAACTTAAGCCGAATCAATTTAATCAAGGTTTATAGACTCAAAAAAAATAATCAATGGTTGCTTACATAGATTCTGTTTTTCTCACTTGTACAGGAGCATAGTTAGGGCCTTCATTGAATATGCTTAGTAATATGCTTGCGCTAAACATCAAGAAGCCATTTTAGAGGTTGCTCCTTATAGGAGATTAGAATCAGTAGAACAGTGGATAGTAGGCGTTAGGCGGATTATATATAGAAATAATAAAAAGGGTTGTCTCGGAGTATAAGATAAGTTAGGGTCGTATGGAAATAAACCTAACTATATCGGTTCTATTAAAACAATCATATATTTGTGGATACTCTAACGCTATTGCATGTTTAACTGAAATTTATGATTTTAAAACCAGATCTCGGTTCATGCTACACGGTTTCTTGGCCTGTCTCTCGTATTTAATTTGTATCTAAATCCAAGGGTTTCATAAGAATGTTTTGGTTAGTAACGGGTTAATAAGCCATCTCAATGGTACTATCTTGGGAGAGTTTTTGTTGTAGTGGGTTGGGTTCTAGAAGAAATTAGGCAAAGTAATCAAAGAAGCCAATAAAAACTATTAGGTGGACACGTAAGATGATGGAATGGCAAAAACAACTAGCATTATACAGATGATTTGCATTGTTAATGGAAGATAGTAACATTCAGTGGAAGACAAGGCCGGTGTACCACCGGAGTGGGCCGGGTGGGCTCGAGCTCTCGCTACTGCTACTCGAAACATGGATCCATCCACCCAAAAAATAGTAGTCAAAGATATGCTATTGTAAGACCGTACAAAATCAACGATGACAAGTATACTTGACCGAATAGCGTCCAAGTTTATTAGCTACAAACCAAGCATTTGCCACATCACTACTAAAAAAATTACCTTTACCGCATTTTTTCCCCAAACTTTAAACTCTTGTGGTCGAAATCAAACACTACCCACACTTGCCACAATGAACCAAATTAATTTAGGTGTGCCAAGTAGTGTAACCAAACGCTTTAAACACCCCCATAAAGTTTTGGCACGCGCCCAAGGACTAAAATCTCCTGGAAACTGATGATCTATTCTAGCGGACCGGGAGGACCGAGGAGACCAAGCAAGAAGCTGCCAGATCGAGTGACGAGCGGTTGTGATGTCAACTCCGGTGTCTGCGTCTGCATGCATTGCACGGCCGCCGCTGGAGCAGGAACGATGGTCGCCGTCGGCATCGTTCCGCTTGCAGTCAGCGACCAGAGCACAGCGCGTACATTCGCAATCGATCGAGTTGTTTGCTTGTACACACGCTTAATTTGTGGTCCAGGTTAGCTGTGCCATGTGATATGTGTACAGCCACCTTCCAGTCGATCGATCTGCTGCACGCTTTGTCGTGAACACACATGCATAGTACAATGCCACCACTTTCTCTTTGTAGCTAGGTAAGCTTTCGAATAGACTGCCTCAACCCTCAGTCTAGAAACAATATAATTCTAGAATAATGCTCAGTTAAACTATCTTAAGTTTGATTAATTAAGTTCATATAAAAAATGTTAATGCTTATCATACACTAAAGAAATATCATGTCACGAAATAGATTTCCATAATACATATCTATGTAAGGTCTTAAAAATTGATACCGTTTTCCATAAACTTGGTTAGACTTAAGTTAGTTTGACTTTGACCAAACTTGAATACTCTTGTGGGCGATAAATTTTTCTATGCGTTTTTTTTCGATGCTCACAGAAAAATTAGTAATTAAAGTGTGGGTTCTAAAAAAATCGACAGAAAAATATGAAAACCACAGAATAATTACATGATTTTTCTATGTGTGCCAATACACACAGAAAAATTACAATTATTCTGTGGGTTTCTACAAAACGCACAGAAAAAAGTAAGGAGGAATTCTCTGTGTGCCATTAAAAAATATCACAATGCCCTGTGTGCCTCTAGAAAAGTTCAGCGGTCTTCAGCGCCACTGCTCCAACTTTTTTGTGCCCTCCATGCCACTGCCATCAGTTTGGGCTCTAACGCCATCAAACTGCAGATGTGAAAAGTCAAAAATATCCCTAAGTTTAAATATGTTATTAATTTTTTTGAGCATGTTAACGACTTCAAATGAAAAAACTCAAAACTAGAGAGTTGTAGATCTCGTCGAGATTTATAATTTTTATATAAAAATTATCTTCATTTAATTCTGTAAAAAAGATATGATTTTTCTAAGATATATTAATCATATCAAATCATATTTTTTTGCGGAATTAAATAAAGATAATTTTTATATAAAAATTATAGATCTCGACGGGATCTACAACTTTCTAGTTTTGAGTTTTTTTATTTAAAGTCGTTAAGATGCTCAAAAAATTAATGATATATTTAGACTTAGGGGTATTTTTGACTTTTCACACCGGTAGTTTGACGGCATTAGAGCCCAAACTGACGGCAGTGGCATGGAGGGCACAAAAAAGTTAGAGCATTGACGCTGAAGACCGCTAAACTTTTCTAAAGATACACATGATATTGCGTTCTTTTTTTAATAGGACACAAGGAATTCCCCCTGGCTTCTTTCTTCGTCCCTCCTCCGACTCCTCCACTTCTCCCGTTCCACACGTAGCGGCGGCACTTGGTGAGCCCCCTCGCGCGTCGGGAGGGCCGGCCAGCAGGTGAGAGAGAGGGATCCAACGGCATGGCAAAGACCCGGCAGCAACAGCCGAGCGCGAACGCACGCGCTCGTGCCTGCGGCCCCGCGCACGTCCGTGCCCAGGCGTCTGCACGCCGGTGAGAAAGAGAGGGAGCCCGATGTGCGACGGGGGCCCGGAGCAGCTACCGAGTGAGGGACACGAGGAAGTACTCGTCACGAGCGAGAAGAGCGCAGCGGTGGGTGGCCGCGAGCAGCCGAGCAGGGAGGCCAGAGGCGCTCGCAGGGAGGCTATGGCGGGCACCACCTCGTCCACGCTGTGCGGCTGCGGGTGCGTGGGCATCCATCGTCGAGCTCCAAGAAACAGTCGTCTGCACAGATGGAGCCTCCACGTTCTATTCCTCCGACCACAACCTCAGATCTGCCCGCTTCGTCTTCCAGGTCACCCCCATCTCCTCTATTTTCCCTTGCTATTCCTACTACGTCTACAAGTTGTTCCCAACCAAATCGAAATCGGAAGCCGACTCCAATTTGGAGGTCTGACTCCCGACGATATAAGCCGAGGCAGAGCAGAAACCTTCGCTCCCTGTTGTCCCTGGTAAGGTTTGCTCAATCATCTCGTTCGATCCATCCTGTGTTCATCCATCTTACTACTCTCCGCCCGCCGCCATGTCCTTTCCGCCCGTCAGTGGCCGCCGCAGGAGGAGCCGGGACTGGCTGCAGATGGATGATACAATCCCTACTTCCGACTGGCTTCCAGTGACTATGCCGGTGCTCGTCGATGGCGAGATCTACTTGGTCGACGCCGAGTTGCCAATAATCCCCGACGACGACCGCCGCAGGCTGGACGAAATCCGGGACGAAGTCCGGCGACAGCGGGAGGATCTCGATATGGTTTTATACGGCCTCAACCGCAAGCGTGCTCGAGCCCCCGCCTCCAGCGATGATGCCATCCAGGGTCTGCTGCAGGAGGCGAGGGCCGGCGACGCGGGGATGCTGGAGGAGTGCGCCGTGTGCCTGCAGGATTTCGACGCGGACGCCAAGGAGACACTCAGGGTGATGCCATGCTCCCACGCCTTCCATCCGGACTGTATCTTCAGCTGGCTCCGGGTTAAAGCTGTCTGCCCGCTATGTCGTCACGCCCTGCCCACGCAGCAGCATGAAGACCCAGACTTTGAGGACGAAGACGACTCCGACGAAGATGACTCCGACTCCGACGAAGACGACGCCGTAAATCATCAGGAGGAGAGCACACCGGCGGTGACAGATCCAGAGGAGCCCTAACCCTAAGACCTGCCTACAACAAACATTGGTGGAGCCGTGTGTGCAATTGTTGCCAAATGTACATGTACCCAAGCAATCTTATTATCTATCAGCAGTTCCTTGATCTACTATTATTACTCTACTACTTGTAGCAGAGTTGTAATAATAATAATTCCTAAAAAGAAAGATTGATGTGTTTTATCTTCATTCAGTGTAATAAAAATAAAACTAAACAAGAAGCACTGGGTTAGTATCTCTCTTCTTCCTTCGCTAATTTGTTAGGAGAAAAAAACGTTATACCATGACTGATAAGCCGGTTTATAATGGGAGTCGAACCGTGTAACGTTTTATTTCTCATCTACTTTAGTTCAGTAACGTTTTATTTCTCTTCATCCTTGGTGTACTACTCTACTTCTGGCAGTTCGTTTAAGTGACGTACTGGCCCTTTCCGTTACACAAATCCTTCATGTTTGTTTGGTCAAAAATCTGATCAAACTTTTAAAACTTATTAAACTAAAAAAAACACTAGTTTTCATCAGAACATAAAAAAAGTACGTCCAGACTTATTTTCAAAAATAGTTCCACACTAAATCCCTCCATAAAATTTTAGCCATATTAAACATCCCATCACTAGATCAAAACACCCCATTCCCTAACTTGAGTTCAAACTTTGAAATCCAAGAAACTCAAGAGGGACTCGATCAAATACCAAGACACCGTCGATGCCAACAAGACGCCCACATAATGGCACGACAGGTGGCTAGGTACAACCGGAAGTCCCTACTCTGTGTCATGGTTTCAAACCATACAGATTGCCAACAGGTTGATGCGATTCAGTGACCCATCACTTGCCTTGCAATGTGTTTCAAAAAGAAACACGGATAATTTACATTTGCCAACAGCCTAAACGGAATCTAAAGCAACAAATTTGTTGTCTTCTTGAGCCACATCAAGATACTTCAGTACACACTATGGCAACGGTCTGAGCGCCCCAAACTTCAGGTCCTCACACAACTAACGTCAATGGGACCCATTCTTCTTCATCCTCAGAAAGTTAACTAATGTGATTCTGGAGGGAACACCCGTGATGTGATTCTGGAGGGAACACCCGTGCCCTGCCTCTTCTTGATGGTAGTTGTCTTCCAAGGCCTCCCATCTCTTACACTGCTCGTGGTCGTCGAGGTCACGTTGTAGAACTGCATATAGACAAAGCCATGGTCAACACTACAGCTGTTCTTCCAGAGGAAGCTGTTGGATTTTCTTCGACTTGGGAAGATACTCACCTCACAAACACCATGCAGAAGCAGCCTCTGAAATGGGTCCTGGACATTCAGCATAAGCACATCCTAGTCACTAGTATCTTCAATGAAGGCCCTAACTCGTTCCTGCAAACATGAAAAGGCGAAGGTGACGTGAGCAACTGACAAGCTGAATCAAATTGGCTGGATGAAAAGTTGGTACAAGTGGTGTAAATGAAGTCAAGAAAACCATAATTCTAATAAGTGGAAAAGAAAACTCTGCTCCAGTTTCTAGTGAGCAAAAGAATTTCAGTTATCTAGTATTGATACCAACTTTTGAAACTCGTAAACGAATTTTAGCAAAAGGTGGAAACAAAGTAGTTACAGGGCTTTGGAGAATAAACACCAAAAATTTCTTTAACACAGCCTATGCACCATAGATATGATTGTAAGAAAGACATCTCTGCTTTTACAAGCATAGTGTCAAACTGATATTTTTTTTATACTGGAAACATAACAGTTATTAAACAGCTATGAAATAAACTTCACTGATTTTTTTTAGTCCAGAAACTACAAGTAACAAACTAGATGTGGTATTGATAAATTATCTACATGTGCTTAGATAGCAGATACAGACATATACAAATACATAATCAAGAACTCTGATGTCTTCTTTACAAGAAAAACTAATTAGCTATGATCCATTATAATCATTTCAATAAATATAAGTCCAAACTTGAGGAAAGAAGGCAGTACTTCATATATTTCAAGCAGATCAGGAAGGAAATTTCTCTTTATTGCTTCTCTAGTTTGGCGATCTATCCGGTGCCAGGCATTCAGCGCAATCAATTCCCCTTCGTCCACATGATTCCTGGGTTTTTGGGATGATCTTTTCATATGTTGCATCAATCTTGCCTACAAATAAGAAAAAACTTGCTAAATACAACTGATCCACAAACTAATGCATGGAGTGATATACAGATCTTCTGTCTCAGTTGTTCATTTCACTAAATTATATTGTGGGCAATGATGAACAGAATGTGGCTAGCAAGAAAGGCATTAACATGCACGTACCTCAGCATCCATGTCAATGCTCCTGAAGGCATCCCATTCACCAACACTTGTCCTGCAGAATGCTGACAAGGGTACTTCCTCACCTGCATAATCATTATAATATAAAGATGAGCTTTTCCAAAGTATACACATGAAAATATCATGCATGTGATGCCCATGATTAATGGAAGAGTGATTCCACGTAAGAATTTGAATGAAAACATGCGATTCATAATACAAGAGCAACAAGCATATGCTTCGACTAAATAATTTTTTAGTATTGTAGTCCATGTGGAAGTTAAAATGGGCATGCTTAACAGAAGACAGTCTCTATGTTTCTGCCGCATGCCAACATAATTTAGAGCTTTTCTGGTACACCACTACATGAAGAAATGTAACACTTTTGCAACAAATAGAGAAAGTACAACGAGAATATCTCGACTCCAAAGCTTTTAATAATGTAGCCCTTGTTTTAAAATGGGCATGCTTAAGAGAAGATGGCCTCTATTTTCCTGTAAACACACTGAAGAGCTTTTGTAGCACACGTATACATGAAGCATATCTAAAATATTTACAACAAGCCGTGCAAGTACAACAGCAAAGATTATTGTCAGGTTAGTAAAATTGCATTATTAAAACACTAAAGCAGCATCTGGAGTTTACGACGCAGGACAAGTTCAATCAGCAAACGGTCATTCATCCACTTTCGTGATCTCCGGTTACTGACCTGTATATATAACATTGTAATGTGTAAACCATCAACCGGTGAACCCCTAGCATACACAACAAAAAATGTTTCATTTACATCAGACTTGTATTCCATTACATTAAAGCCTGCAAACATAGAATATGTGATCTTGCACACTTTTTTTTTTATTTGTCATCACAGGAGATGCACAGGAATTTTTTGACTTATTAAGCATGCACATCACAGAAGAAAAAGGGTGGCAAGAGGTACAGAAGGCCAACACCAATCAGGATGAGCATCCTCTCACCTTGGTGGCCATGTCCTCGAGGAGTTCAATCTTCCTCTCGATCAGCTGTGAGCGCGACTTGGCGCCATCGCCTCCCTCCGCAGCAGATCCGCGCTCGCCATGGCTGGGGGAACCTTCTCTCCCACACGTCACAGTCTCGGGGTCCTGTGACTGCTGCGCGTGTCGACGCGGTCCCCGGTGGTCGGGCAGCGCAGCAGCGGCTGGAGTGGAAGGTTGGGCCGGGCGTCTGAGGACGCGAGATCAGCTGACGGCGATGCTCCGGCGGCAGTGGCGGGTGCGCCTTGTGGAATCGGGGCGGACTGGATTTTGGCAGGAGAGATTGACAGATTGAGCGCTATTGATTCGCCTTCCGTGATTCCGTCACGAGGGCATCAAGGCAGGAACAGACTTGGGTTGGGCTAGAAACTTTAGGCGCGTGTACGCATTACCAATGACAGTGGGACCGCCCTGTCATGGGGCCCGCATGTAAGGCATACGGGTTTCTTTTCTGTGGTCCCGTCTTTTAGACGAGGTCAAGCAGCCACGGAAACGGGAGAAGGATATCCGGATGCCAAAACATTTGGCCTTTTGTTGTAAAAAAAAAACGTTTGCCCTTTTGGCCTGGGATCTTATGTGGTGCCCCAACTTCCAACGGATCACGTCAACTTGTCAACTACTCCCTTTCTCACGTAAAAAATGCCATTCTCACTTGCTAGAAATTAAACATTATCAACTTTAAGAAATAGTTTGAAAATTTTAGGTGCGATGCATAGATGGGGCTTATGTAGGTACACCATCGTACCTATATACATGCATGGATAGTTAGCTTAGTTTTATAAAAGTAAGGGGCAAATTTACACATATCCTTACCTCACCTTGTCAGGCAAAAAAAAAGTGATTATGTGTTTGGATTTCTGACATGTTTTTTCTGTTTTATGTGCTGGCAAGGTCGTTTTTTTCTTGCTATCCCAATCTAGCCAATTTAGCTCTTCTACCCTAGCAAAGGTAAGCTAGCACGCCCTGGCGAGATAAGGCGAGGATAGTCGAGCAACCAAACTAATCATTTGGCTCAGCTTATTGCATTGCTTGCAACTAATTGCATAAACACTTGTTTTTTTTTAAAAAAAATGCATAAACACATGCAGTGTACTTCTGCTCAACTATAGTGTCATTGATTGTACATTTCATTGCAATATCGTTTTTAGCTCAAATAGAATGTCTCGAGTTCATAGCTAATGCTAATAATGTCGTTCTGCTGCACTACGATGTACGTACACCCTCCATTCCTGTATACCCGGCGTGTATGCCCGAATTACAGATACTCTTTGGCAAGAGCTTAGGTGAAACATAGGAAATGCCAGCTGCACCCAGTTTTTTAAATCTGAACTGCACGACATTGAAAGCAAAGCTAGCCGTTATACACATGTGCCACCCGTTACTACAAGTGCCAAACTGCCTATATATATACATGCACATGTTCTTTGCTGATCTGCAATCCGTAGAAGCTCCAAGCCCACAGCACTATCAGGGCCTCTCCAAGCATTCAGTTCTTTTTGCTGGTTTGCATTCGTTAGTAGCCCCAACACCATCAGGTCAGCTCCAAGCACATCAAGAGATCTGCATACAAATGCAGCCTTCTCATTTGCATCCTGAAGAGACCAAGTAGCTCATCTCCACATCTGCTCAGTCACAAAACTCTAGACAAGCTGGGAATCAAAAGCGAGATGACATAGCACGAAGGATGTGGGATCATTACATAGCACGAAGGACTTAGTAACATTGTATTTACTGATATAAAAGTCAGGGTCATTGCAGCCCTTGTACTCCTAATTAGCAACTTAAATATTGTACTTGCATCTACCAAAAGAGTGTAACTAGCTAGAACCGAGTTTAATTACCACCTACTGACCTAGGTTACACACACATGTTTCTTGTCAAATAGGCCGTAGGAACCGAATCCTCTGGAATTATTCCTTCACTTTTCCCTGTGAACCAAAGAGCCACATAGGAAAGAATCCTCGGGAAACTCTAATCCTCCAAAATTCCTTTGTTTTCCATGTAATCCAAAGGGCCCCTAAAAGGTGTGACCGAGTGGCATGTGAGTTCTATTGGAGCAAGGCTAATAATACAGCCGACTGCTGGCTGCAAGGATCCTTACAGCTTACCAATCAGTCCACGTGGATTAAGAGTAGTAGTTAGCTCTTTAACATTAATATATGGTCCACCTTTCTCTCCCACAAAGTTTCTTAGCTCTTGTGTCTAAGCCGGCTGTAAGCTTACAACCCGCTTCATCTCTCTCTCCTCTCCTCTCTCCTCCATATCAGCATTCAGCCTGCTTACGGCCTGCTATTATACTTGCTCTTACGTATTATGGAAGTCACTCAAGCATCTGTTTTCTACTAAATGGAATTTAAAGGAGTAATTAATAACTCGTTTAAACAAGAAAGTTAATAACGACAACATGGGAAAAAAGCTCGTGTTAACAGCTTTGACAAATCACCAAATATGAGGTTTTTAGCAAAAAAAAAAAAGGAATCACACGGGATAGTTTAGCTACCAGGTGAATCACACTACAATAGTACATGTCTCTTACATTCAACATGCTAATAACTAATTAATTGGAAGGAATCACACACAAATATTTACATATCAGGTGAACCAGTAGATGGTTTTACACGGCAAGCGTAAGATAGGACATTTCATTTTTTTTTAAACGCAATAATTCGACATTTAGACACCAATATGCACTAGGGCATCCAGTCCAACGTTGTTAGTGTCCAAATGTGGGATCACGTCATCCCGGTTGATAGTGTCAGAATCTTGCACACCAAGCATGCTTGCTCATCCCCTTAAAACACGCGCAGCTTAAAAAGACCTTATTGTTAACAAACAGCTAAACAAATATTTTAATGCCTACTTACAATGGTTGGAATGATTTTTAATTTGTTGGAATTTGATAAATTTGTAGGAAATATCTAAACGACTGTAGAGAACTACCTGCCGCTTGAGGGCCATTAATTAAAATAAAAACTATTAGAAAATATCAAATTTTCGGTAACGTTTTACCTAGCCTTTAGAATATATATAAACGAAATTTAGGAGGTTAATAGACAAGACAACTGTACAAGTTTAAGAGGCTAGGCGAAACAACTACGAGAAATGGCAGCAACGTTTTGTCGACATTCACATTGGTCTTGTCCTTTGCGCCAAAATTCTATTACATATTACATATACAAGTTGTAGCCGTTTTCACCTGCTCCAAAATGACAAATTATGTTAGATACATAAGTTTTTTTAGTATAAATATACGGTAATGCTACATAACATACGATCAGAATTAAAAAAAAAAAGATGCACTACTCCACTCTCGCTCCAGCACAGCGACCGGTCCAACAGGCCCACGTACGCTCTCTACTCTATCCACTCCATCTACACTGCGACAGCCAACAGAAATCCCCAACTCCTTGCTTTGCTCGTCATGGCTCACCACTCCGTTCGCTCGCCCCAAGCCGCCTCGCGGCGGTAACTCCATACCACGCCAATCTACTGCCGTGTCGTGCTCCATCCCCGCCACGCCCACTCCGCCTTGTCGCGCCGTGCCCTATCCCTTGCCGCGTTGAGGTGTTGCCGACGATGTCGTTCCCCACCAGGAGGTCGTGGCCGTTGTCGACGCCGGCTCCATCGCACCTCTCAACCTTAGCTCGCGACATCACGAGATATGGAGTGGCCAAACCCAGAGCGGGTTTCTCTGGCTGCACCTTGCACTCCCTTCCTTCCTCGGATGTTGCAAGCACGTGTTGCAAGGGTATGCTTCAAGCGTTTCAGGTGTTTCATATGCATGTTACAAGTGTTTCATGTGGATGTTGCAAAAGTAGATTGGGATGTTGCAATTGTTGTCCACGTATGTTGCAAGCGTTTGTTCCAAATGTTTCAGTTGTTTCAGACGAATGTTGCACGTCTGGGTATTGCATATGTTTTCGTAGTTATGTTGCAAATGTTTTATCTGGGTGTTGCATATGTTTCACACTTATGTTGCAAGTGTTTCATCAGGATGTTGCATATGTTTTGCACACGTGTTTCGGACGTATGTTGCAAGTGTTTCAACTGTTTCGGACGTATGTTGCAAATGTTTCCTCTAGATGTTGCAAAAATAGATTTGGTGTTGCACATGTTGTAGTGGACCCCATCTGCAGCAACCGCTTGCTGCAGCTGTTGGGCCTTTCTGCATGCGCGTGGGTGTAGACGGGGCGCGAGCGACAGGCGTGGGAAACTGTGCGGGCGCAGATCGAGATGGAGCGAGTGTGGGACACGGAGTGGCATGTGACACAGTGGCGCGGGACACGGAGCGGCGCGAGACCACCACGTGAAGTAGGCGTGCGGCGTGGGCGTCCGGACCCTAGCATTTCCTATCAGTATAACTTGTATCTGTATATACTATATTAAACCACACCCAAACTACTAACAACATAGGCCCCGTTCGCTTGTCTGAAAAAAAAAGCCAAAACACTGTTGCGGCTGGTTGTGTGAGAGAGAAATACTGTAGCGGCTGAAAGATGTACTGTAGCGTGTGAAGGAAAACAGCCGGAGCAGCCGGCTGGTCTGAAATTTTCAGACCAGCCGAACGCCACCATAGTATTGAAAAAGGCTTTTGACAAAATAAAACGACACTAACAAAGTTGCAAACATTTTAGTTTTATAGAAATTCTCTGTACGTAAGGCCTTTGTCTATCGATTTCGAGCGTGTTTGATTTGTCGGTCGGGCACCTCTCTCAGCTAGTACACAACAACTCTTGCACAGGCCGACAGGCCATCTGAAATGTCAATATATGGCCCTGTTCGCTCTTATAATCCGTCTTTTTCATCTTGTTTTTTTAGCCGGAACAGTGTTTTTCTCTCACAACAAATCAGCCGGAACAGTGTTTCGGCTTGTTTTTTCAGCGAAGCGAATGGGGCCATATGTGGACATCTACTGACTTGCAGCAATAATGGGCTGATGGCAACCCCTACCGTAGTACAAACATGAACATCGCTCT